TTTCCCAACCAGCTTGTTTTTCCAGTCAATGACCTTTTGTTTTGGAACTTCAGTAAATGAGACTTCCAACAACATTTAAAAAGATGTTTTTATTGATCCAAATTAAAAACTTATTTTTGGATTTTCAGTGAGAGGTTGGGATTTACAGGCAGTCCCCGGGTTACGTACAAGATAGGGACTGTAGGTTTGTTCTTAAGTTGAATCTGTATGTAAGTCGGAACTGGCATCCAGATTCAGCTACTGCTGAAACTGATCAGTTTCAGCAGTGGCTGAATCAGGACGCCTGGGGCAGAGCAGCTCGGGTGCTGCTGGGTTGGTCCAGTAGCGCGGCCGCTCCTCGGTGCTACTGGACCAACCCAGCAGCACCCGAGCTGCTCTGCCCCAGGCGTCCTGATTCAGCCACTGCTGAAACTGATCAGTTTCAGCAGTGGCTGAATCAGGACGCCTGGGGCAGAGCAGCTCGGGTGCTGCTGGGTTGGTCCAGTAGCGCGGCCGCTCCTCGGTGCTACTGGACCAACCCAGCAGCACCCGAGCTGCTCTGCCCCAGGCGTCCTGATTCAGCCACTGCTGAAACTGATCAGTTTCAGCAGTGGCTGAATCAGGACGCCTGGGGCAGAGCAGCTCGGGTGCTGCTGGGTTGGTCCAGTAGCGCGGCCGCTCCTCGGTGCTACTGGACCAACCCAGCAGCACCCGAGCTGCTCTGCCCCAGGCGTCCTGATTCAGCCACTGCTGAAACTGATCAGTTTCAGCAGTGGCTGAATCAGGACGCCTGGGGCAGAGCAGCTGGGGTGCTGCCGGCTTGGTCCAGTAGCACCAAGGAGCGGTGATGCGGGACCAACCGGCAGCGCCCCACTTGCTCTACCACAGGCCCCGGGCTTTGCTCCACGTCTCCCTGGTCTGCTGGGGGAGCCAGCAGACCAGGGAGACGGGGAGCAGCTTTTCTCGCCCCGGAGGAGGCGGGTGGCGGGACCAGGCGTCCCGCCGCTCCAGTCCTCCGGGGCAAGAAAATCCCCGTTCGTAACTGCGGATCCGACATAAGTCGGGTTCGCGTAACTCGGGGACTGCCTGTAGTTCCAAATGTGGATGGTTTCAGATAAATCACAAGATGTTCACAGGATGGACTGTAGGCTCTGGCTAACCATATCAGCATCAGCTCTCTGGTGGCTGGTACGAGTTGAGCACTGATCAGATGGTGGTATTAAGTCACATGCTGCAACACCAGCATTAGAGCAGCTGCATCCTCCTCTCTCCCCATCCCTGGAATCAGAGGTAGGGAAGAGAAGAGTGTGCATGGCTGTTAGATAGGCCCTGTTCAGAGCCTAACTCTGAAGGCAAGTTCAGTTGGTTAAACCAAGACAGGCCTTCCCCTGCAACAGTTTGTAAGATCAGAGGTTCATAAAATGTATTTGCCTCATGCCAGACTGAGGCTATGTCTACAACGGGAAGGTTTGGCGACAAAAGTGCTGTCAACATACAAAAGTTGTCAAAAGTGAAGAACAGTCAAACCATTTTTTTCTGCTTCCTGTTGTCCACATTTCATGGCCACATTGCTAGCACCCTGTAGACAGACAGAGCAGAGCAATGTGGGTAAACATCCCACAGTGCAGTGTTGTGGAAAAGCAGAGCCGATCCCTGCACTTCTTGGGATTCCATTGTAGCTCTGTGAGCTCTCCATGCTGAGGAATGTCAAAGCAGCATAACAGTCTCTCCAGCCCTTCCCTTGCAGCAGCAGTCTGCCTACCGCTGTGTTCCTAGCAGGGCAGAACAGGAGCCTTCCAATGATTTGTTCTTTGTTTGTTCCCCATACATAGCAGCTCATTCAGCTGTCAAGACACTCCCTACCCACCACCCCCCCCCCCAAGCTTTGAAAGGACAAGGGTGCATGCCTGCAGGGCAGCAGAGTTCACAAAACACTGAACACAGCCATCAGGGCAAGCATTGTGGGATATTGGCAGAAGCCAGTTCACTCGGCAAAACAAAGAGCAGAGTCCACACTGGCTTTCTCGACAATAAAAGAAGAGAAAAGACAAAAGTCTCTTGTAGGGGTAGAAATCGTTTGTTGCCAAAACTGGGTGTTTTTCCTGACAAAAAAGTTGCATTGCAGTGTAAACGTTCTAACTGTTTTGTTGTCAAAAAGCAGTTTTTGGTGACAAAATGTGCCAGTGTAAACAAGCCCTAGGAAGTGGAGCTTTTAGGCTGACAAGAACAGAAGAGACTATGTCCACGTCTACTAGGGATGTCGGAGTATGACCAACTAATTATTTAGCCAATAAGCTGATGCTTATTAGTTAATGGTGTCAGTTACACTCAGCTGGCTCCTGGGGAGGCAGCTTCCCGGAGGGGCGGAGCTGGAAGTCCCTGCCAGCCTGGCTCCTGGGGGGCGGGGAAGCTTTTCTGCAGCAGGGAAGCTGCCTCCCTGGGAACTGGGCTGACTGGGGCTGTTGACCCTGCTACCAGGGAGGCTTTGCTGCGGGCTCTGCAGTATAAAGCAGTATTTAAGCTTTATACGGCAGAGCCTTCAGCATGCAACTGTGTACCTGCTCAGATTTTCAGTGTTTACATGGTTACTCATTTAACCAACTTTTAACATCCCTAACGTCTACACTACGAGTGCTATACAGACAGTTCCAGCATCGCAGAAGGGGGTTTTACTGTCAGTGTAAGTAATTCATTTCCCCTAGTGGATCAATTCTTCCATTGATCTTGCCGCAGCTACACGGGTGCCCCAGGCAGCAGAGCAGGGGTGTGAATTTCCTCACCCCCTAGAACAATGTAATAACATTGATCTAAATTCTAAAGTGCAGTCCAGGTCTCCATGCAAGAGCGCGCTAAAAGTACAAATCACATAGCAAAGTCGGAGGCAACAGAGGTTGGGAACAAAAGAATTTTTGGGGGCATGTGGCAAATTGTATTCCTCAGCCACACTCTCAAAATGCAAAGACTGTATCGGAGAGTTCCAAAGGTTGCCTGGTTGATTTCCATCTATTCCATCTCTAAACCTTAAACTTTTGCCTTTTGGGTGCCAGTCCTCACAGAAGAGAGAACTGCACCGAGCAAATCTAGCCTGTCAGAGTAGAACATGCGGATTTCAGACTGCAGGTGAGTATGGCACTAGGCACTTGACTATCTTCCACATCTCCACCCCAGATAATATGCTACGTAAAGAAGAGAAATCCTGGCTGCCCCACACACTGCCTGAAGACACACAGACACGCGAGTCCTCAGCAGGCTTTGTGCTATACACAGAGCAAGAGGCAGACACTTCCAGTGCTAGTAGGGATACATTCCACTTGATCCACACTGCTGTAGTACGATGACATTATCTGAATGCTCTTGGTCACTAGTCCACCTCTAAACAACTTCCCACTTTGCCTTCCCTGAAGTGTCCAGTTGCCATTTTGTGCTCCCCACACTCCCTGCATATGCCTAGAATCCCACACACACGAGCACGCAGGTCTCACCATTTTCCATGCTGGATGCAGTAAAATGCACTAGAGATGTTAACATGGGCTATTTTTGTAAACGTGTAACCACTAACATTTTCAGCAGTTACATGTTTACACACAGGGGGCACCAGTTCCCCAGAGAGCACCAGTTCCCGCCTGCTGCTCCTCCACTCTGCGCTGCTGCCTCTGTATCAGAGGCAGCAGTGCAGAGGGCAGGTGGTTCCATGGGAGCTGGTACACATAGGGAGCCAATTTCCAGCCCCATTCCCTGATGCAGAGGCAACATTAACTTGCTGCCGGGAACTTGGGAGATCTGGTTTAATTACGAGTTCCACCACAGACTTCCTTTGTTGCCTTGGACAAGTCACTTAGTCTCAATGCCTCAGTTTCCCCAAATGCTGCCTGCCTCTTGGGGTGTTGCAAGGGTAACTGCATTACAGTTTGTGAGGTGCTGAGGAACTATGGTGATAGAGGAGACGTAAATACCACAGAGAAGATCATGTTGTCTCACCAGGCACACAGGCCGGATGCGATTCCACTCTGACCTCATCACCTGACTGGCAGGGATGTAAATCCGTGCC